ACATCAAAGCCCGCAACGTGCACCCGAACGTTGCCAAAAGTCTATGGCAACGTTTTCCGCGCGTTGCCATAGGCGGTTTCTGGTGTAGTGATGTTTGCCTATGTTTTGGCAATCATTGGCTTGTTTGACTTGCATCCAACTTTGACTCGTTGACATGAATCATTGATCACCTCCCTAATTGTAATAAAACTTAAATTTTTTTATCCTACTATAATAAAAAAGATAGATTTAGGTTGCTATAGATGCAATAGTAACCCAATGAGATGCTACTGTTCATTTCCCAAATCTTTACACCTTCAGTCTTTCAGTTTTATATCACATCTTTTTTCCCCAAAATGCTATAAAAATGATGTTGGACACATGTTTCCTCTAGTAATCTGAAGCTTAAACAATACATTGCATGAATATTAGATTTTGACTTCACACATGATGCAAATAGATGGATCTGAGTCAACGAAGTATTGCTATAGCTTCTACCTTGTTTGGAGCAACATCACTAACCCGAAAAAAACACTGGATCTTGTATACTAGCGCCCAATGCAGTCTCTGCATCCTATACACCAGTAAACCCCAGTTTAGATACAACACACACAAGAAAAATGATGAACAGTCTTATGGTGAAACATCATTATGAAATTTTGTACAGAGACATCTTATAATTAAAAAAAAAAATTGTCTCCGCGGTGTACAGGGAGTATCTCCGCGCATCGCGAAGACTCCGTGCCGAGAGTAATGTCTCAGCACCGCGGAGAGTGGATACATTTTTTTTAAAAAAACTTTGGATATAAATCTTTTTTTTTTCCAAATCGACTCTTCTTTTTCTTGTTATTAAATTTAGACGATACCATTTTACACAAACTAAATACAATTTCACTTATTAATAAATTGCTATGTATTGTTTATATTTATAATAGTAGGATATGTTTAAATTTAAGTTAGATTTTCTTATAAATTAATTATATCTCTTCAGTGCATACATGAAAATCAGAATTCAATATGGACGTTGCCCCCTCAACCTGACCGGTCAGATCAATCCCCGTCAGGGATGTTGCCCCTGAACCCCCGCGCTACCCCTTCGACCCCCACCTTTCGGGGGCGTTGCCATTGGAGTTTGCTGACTTAAGGTTTGTTGAATTTATTGTACCCATCATCTTATTCGCGTAGTCAATCATCAAAGTTAAAGAGATAGGTTATGCACAGTTCTAGCTAACAAGTTAATTCTAAATTGAATTATTCTAAATTCTTTCTTGCACAGTTCTAGCTAACAGGTTAATTCTAAATTGAATTATTCTAAATGCTTTCTTAGTTCTCTCATTTCTTCTATTACTGCTATAGCTTCTTCAGTGACAATGGTGATTCTAGACGTCTTCAAGCACTTCACATCTTCAAGTATAGTAAACTGCCCAATATCCACGCCTTGTATAGTAGACTATGTTAACCATTATTGCTTTTGAGGAAATTTGATGCACCATCTTCATACTAGTCTTCAAAATTTGACTTCCTTAGAATCCTGCAAATGTCTTTCTTCCCATTGCTCATTGCCTGAATCATTTGCTCAGCACTCCAAATTACCAAAAAATATATAAGCTGCAACACGAGAATGCATTGTTGTCATATATAAAGGTATCCCCTTTTCTATTATCCTCTCCAAAACAAACATAAGCAAATGTTTCCTTTAGACTCTAGCACAGAGCTTGATCATGATGTCATATCTCAAAGAATCGGCTCACATCCAAATTCTGGTATTTCGTTATACAGTTGCAGAAAATTCTTGGTACACCAAGATTGGCACAAGCATTGAGCACATAATTGTAAGCACTTGTGTCTGGCCTTGAGTCCTAAACCATCTCAAAATTTGCAAATTCACAGATCCTTCTGGCCACGAATTGAATAGGATCGTTACAGCAGCTCATGACTTAACATGGGGAGTACCTAGACTTAAGTGTGGACTTGATAATGCAAGTGGCATAGAGGGTTTGCCACTGCAAGGAGCTGAGAGAATTAGCATCCAGGTACTGGAGCTACTGCTCCTGTCCGAGTTGTTGGATGATAGACTGGGCCATGATGAGTCTCACACTGGTAGTTTGACAGGATAATTGTAGACCAAACAACTTAAGCAGTTGGGATAGGGAAGGTCTGCATATTGTGTGTAAACTAGCCATGCCACTTCATTTTTCCTTTGTTGAAGAAGTGTGAGGAGTATTTGCTCTCGAGAATTGGAAAAACTTTTCTTGCTGGTGGCTATGATGAGGAAGGTGTTGGAGGGGTTGGTGGTGGTTTGATTCCAAAATAAATGAGGTTTAGAGGCGGTGGTGATAAAACCTAATGGAGAGTAGTTATTGAAAATGGCTAGAGGTGGATGGTGAAAATGATGAAGGTGGTGGTGGTGGTGGTGGTGGTGATGATGATGATGGTGATGGTGATAGTGATGATTCAATGTTCACCGTTTATCCATTTGGGTAAATGGAGATTCAAATTTTGAACAGGGAGAGGATTAAAGTTGGGAAAGTGATAAGATAGATAATTTCTCAGGACCTTTGTTTGGGTTGGGGAAGGAAAGTACGACTTCATCTATATATTCTGCCCTCTTGTTTGGCATCAATGATTTGGTGGTTTCTACACTTTTTCTTTTGCCACTAAGAAGTTTATATTGTTCCCACTTCTCTATTTTGAATATTTTCCTCTTCATTATAGATTAAACCTATTAAAACAATTAACAAAATTCATGATAAATTCGAAATCCCACAACTAATTGATCCACAAAATAAAAAATATAGTATCTTTTTAAGAGACCATCTTAAATCAAAAGGAAGATAAACATTAACAATTAATTGAGGTTTTGTCAGGGGTCGACCAGGGATAAAAAAGACAGATTCACTTCTCAAAGTTGGCAAGTCATCAAATAGAATGATCAATGTCTCAATCAACTATTAAACATTCATTAACTAACCTATCATATGAGATTTAATACTTATCATGTTGGATATTGAACTAGAAATATTATCTTTGCTTTGCTTGCAGCATGCCCAAATATATTTATATATGTTTGTGATTTTTCACCTCGTACAATGAACTTGATTGAGTGTAGATTTCTTGTTCGCTGTGCAACTTTTTGAAATGATTTCTTGTTAAATCTTTCACTTCAAGTGTTTCCTAACTCCTCCAATATAATGCACATGAAACACAGAATTTACAATAATACAATCAACCAAAAGATCAGACTTGGCCAAATACTTCGAATCTTCAATAAGTTTTGAAAAATCTTCAATCTTTACACTAATAAAAACACAATAAATACAAAACTCGTGCAACGCACGTTACAAAATGGGTGGAATTCTTAACATCTCGCTTGAAGTCTTAAATGATTTATTCACATGATAACTATGGTAAGTCTTAATGACTTCATCGCTTTATTGAAAGCATGTTTAGCTAAAGTTTAAAAAACTTTTTGTGCTAAATAAGCATATCGTTCAAAAAGTTAATAATTTACTTATA